TGCAGTGGAATAATAGGACTGAACAGTCATGTTTTAATAAACTGCCCACCTGAACTGTCAGATGAAAAGTTCCATATTCAGGTGTGATTGGCATTGAGTCATCTTGTCCATCATCAGTTATTCAAATGTATGTGATTCATCCCAAGTCCCAGGGACACCACATTTGAGAAATTTTCTAAAAGAACCAAGTAAAAAAGGCTACTAACATCTGAGAAGAGAGGGAATTAATAAAAAATATTACTTTTTATAGGGAAAGGCCATGAAATGTCCTTCAAAATTACCCACATTGACCTGACACCAAAACATAAGAAGACAGTAAGATATCTTCTGAAATTAATAAAATGCATCTTCTTGTTGAGACTAGCTGGTATATGCTGTGGCATCCATTAAATATTTTCTGGGAAGAGTTTCCACTTAAAACAACTTGCTAATGGATCCCAGCACACCAGATAGGATAGATAGATCAAGTGGGTTTGTAAAATCAGTATGTTCCGTGAAAATTGGGAATACTGCTCTCCTGAGTAGAAGATGTTTATTTCCCACTCGAATACCATTAAGGATATTCTGCTCTACTGGAACTATTTCTGAAATTATATTCAGATCAGGTTATTCATTAATTTAATTAGGAGACATTTATTAGCAGCCAAATTGTGCCAGGAACTGTGCCAGGAGGTAGAAATATGTTACATACACTCTTGTTCTCAGAGAGGAAAATAGTTAATGTTCCAAAATAAATTTTCTGTTTTTAGGTTATTTTCCTGTTTGCTCTCATTGTGGATGATGTCTAATCCATTTTAGTACTGCCTAGTCTCAATCCTTTATGAAATTCCCTATAAGTTTTTATAAGATTAGCCATCCACTGCCATTTTAACCAGATTGTAGTATTAATATGTACAATATCTTCACTGTGAAAAAAGAAGAGTTTGCCAGAAAAATTATTACTAGTTACAGAAGATTTAAAGATTTGAGAGTGATTGAAATTACATGCACACAGGTTTTTTTATAAAAAATATTTTTTTAAACTCTACTTATTATCAATATCCTTGTCATAGCCACTGAATTTTTTGTTTTTCTAATCATATGAATAACCTCTCTAAATGGGAGTATTGTGATAAAAGTAATAGTAGTTACTTAAAAGAATATATTTCTGTAGAGATAAGAGGTATCTTTTTTCTACCATTCCTATATGAATGTTTCTGTGTTTCTAATTAAAATTTTAAGACATCGTTTTTGTCCTAGCCTAATAGAAAAAACCTCCATAAACAATCAAGATTCCCTGTTATTCTGATACATGATATAGCTCTAGCAACACAGGGAAACGTGTTTTTCTCTTTTAAGTAAAAATTATATTTGTTTCTGAGGTATAGAGACAACCATTTTATTTGGTGTGATTTATCTGCCTATTTTTCGACATAGGAGCTAATCAGATTTTTTTTTTTTTTTTCTATTTCTAAGCATGATTCCTAGACATGTATTTACATGGCCAAATCAACCAAGCAGAACCCTCTAATTCATTTATTGAGAGACATACTAATGTCTTCCTGAATTATGTGATATCCCCAGGATTTGCTTATCGAGGAGGCATTAGGAAGAAAAGGCTTATGTTTATGTAGATGCACACACACTTTGTACCTGAGCTCACATAAACAACTATGAGGTCAGAGCTGACAGGACTTGCAAGGCTCATTATCCATGCAGGAGCTGAAGCCTGGAGAATCCTAAGAGCCTGGTATGCTACTGTTTCATTATCAAGCTCTAGGGATTTTCAGGGAACATTAGGAATATATTTCTGAAGCATATAGAGAAATGGTGTAGTATTCAATGAGATAAGCAACTGAAAACATGTGAACACATTCACCATTTAATTATCCATCTTAATAGAAGATAAGGATGAATTTAGTGCAGGAATCCATAAATGTCACAAAAGCCTAACTTTTAACTAATACCTTGAATCATTTTCCAATAATCCTAACTTCTAAGCAGATTGACAGAGGACATTCCTATCTTGCTGTTCTGGCGCATTAGCTAAAGAGCATTAGCTAAAGAGCATTAGCTAAAGAACAGCGGAGTGCCAAAAACCTTAGCACAATAATTGAGAGATTGAACAATCTAAATTTGAATCATCTGTGCAATTAAAAGAGCTGATATTAGTATGCCCCTAAAGAATAGTATTTGAGCTTATGAGAACTAGAAATTCAGGCAAGGACTCCTAGAACACACTCTCCTTTCTAACCATTCAATTATTTCTTTGTTTTCAGTTCTCTAAGTTACTTTGCAGGACTGTCTTTACCTTTGTCCACTTTAGATTCTCCCTGAAAAGCAGGATCACGTAGGGATTAGAAGGAGCTCTAGAGCCATCAGCCGGGCTACCCTGTTCTTGCCTGTCACTGCTGTGTGACTATGGGCCAGCTATGTAGCCTATGTCCCCTCAACCTTCTTTGTGCCTTGTGCCTCATCTGTAAGGTGGAGAGGGCAGCTGTATCTCTGTCATAGGGCTGAGGTGAAGATCTTATGAGTTACCAAGCATGAAGTACTTAAATCACTGTCTCTTATTCATATCAGCAGTCATTCAGTGTTGAACCATTATTGCTCAGAGGAAAGAAAGGGGTGGGGGAATTTGAGGCGAGGACTGAGGAGAGGAAATGAGTGTGTACTAAGTACCTGCGATGGACTAATGAGCATACTATTGGGTAACTAGCACCGAATGTTTTTAATCCTCAAGTACTCTCTGAAAGATACTGCTATCTGAATTACACAAATGGGAAAATTGAAGCTTTCATGTTTATTTTAATATGGATGTTAACATGAATAATTAGCAAGTGGGAATGTATGCTGTTTGTGATAGCAGAAGATAAAGGGGAGACGCAGACGTGAGTTATCAGAAATGACCTGCACATCCTTTACATTCAGAGTTAGCTTAACACAGTTAAGACGAGGCCAGTCTGGAGCTATAGCATCCTTGTACACCTGCTTGTTGGTGAAAGTCCTTTCAGGACACAATGCCTTCTAGAAACATTCATAGGTGACTAACTGAAAAAAAAAAGTTATAATGAAAAGCAATCCTTTTTTAATTGAAGTGTTTTTTTCTTATTTGAACTCTTTAAAGAAGAAAATCCTTTTTTTTTTTTCTTCAAAATAATGAATCCTTTTCAAAAGAGAAAAATGACGTAGAGCAACTAAGAAATCAGCTGCATCCATGAGGAGCAGACGGAACATAGTGGATAAATGCAATTAGTTGCCATCTTTTCTGTCTCCAGCCTTGGAATTATAATGGTAATAGAACTAGAGGAATTTTTCAGACCTTGGTGTTTAATAACGAGCAAACATCAAGGATATGTAATGTCCTTATCGCACAATCCTGCACAAAAATACCCTTCATAGTCAGCCTTTAATTTCTGACATTTTTAAAATTTCTTTTTTTACATTAATGTATATAAACCTATTGTCTTTTAAATATATATATATATTTATGGATATAGCTTATCACTTGTTATATCGCTTACTACTTTGCTTCTTCTGAGATTTAAAAGGTCACCTCTGACTTGTAGGTTCAAGCAGATTTCACAGTACAAATGACAATTGTAATAACTTGCTGCCAAAAGCTATGTTTCAAGCTGTGATGTCTGGCTTTCTTGGAATTATTGAGACGACATTTCTTTTAGGAAAAAAGAAATGAGTAAAGGCAGTTGAACACAGGTTTATTTTTATTTTCTTGTATGTATTTATTTGTTTTCTCAAGTGTAGGAACGTGGCCTCTGTGGCCAGCATGCAACACACAAGTACAGAGTACGCTCTCTGGGCCAGGCACTGTGGGATAGGGGTTCCCAATAAAGAAAAAGAGGAAGACCAAATCTGGCCCCATGGATCTCACGTTGAGGAGGGGAGTCAGAAACATAAATAATTTAATTGTTTGTGTTAAGTGCAGTGATGGGGATTTACGCAGCATTTTGTGGAAGCACAAAGAGCACCAGATTCCACCCCGGATGGCAGGGAGATGGCCCGTGAATTAACTAAGCAAAAGGGGAAGGAGAGGCACATCCCGTGGAATATCGATAACATAACAAAAGCATATTATAAGCCTCCCTCCCCCTCCCACACATCATCTCTGGGAGTCTCAGACCTTCCAACTGGTTTTCAAGGTGCCCATGACGCATAGGTTTATAGTAACTAGGTTTGCCCAAATGGCCAAAATTCTATTCCTGCCATGAATTTTCATAGCTGATTTTTTTGTTTGAGAGAGGAAGAAGTGTGTATCTTTGGAACTCACTTTACAAAATCACATAGCAGGATGCATGTAGCAGTGGAATTGTTGAAGAAAAGAAGCCTTTCTCTTCTCTTTTTTTTATTAGGGTGAATGTTCTCATGTAAAACTGGAATGAAAATGAAATGGAACTAATTAGAAAAAAGTAGAAGCTTTTAAGAAGAAACTTAATTGTTGCTGGAAGAATTAGAATCCGAGGGCTTAGAAAGAACTTAATTAAATTTTAAAGTAAAATAACTACAGTTTAGCAATGGCTTTTCTCCTAGAAAAATATAATGTTCCTTCGAGCTTCTCAGTTATTCCTTGGCCTACAAATTAGTAGTGGTTAAAGTGCCAATTATTTTTCTCATTTTGATTATTGTACTGTTCTATATTACTGATGATGGGATTATTTGTGCGACATTGCTTCATCTTAAGACTATGCATGTAGAAATGTTGTCTCATATATACGGGTGGGGAATAGATCTAAAATCTATTCTTCTGTAGCAGAATGCTTCTATTTAGAAGAGAACAGGTTGATTAAGGAAGCCAGTCATCATATATGTTGAAAATGCTAAATGCTCTGGTAGAAATCAAAAGTGGCCTATCTACCCATTAAAAAACGAGTGGGAGAAATATTTAGAAGGAAGAATTGTGAAAAGATGACTCTCAATGCTTTCACACCATGGGATGAATTAGTGGGACATCAGACGTAAAGCCAACAGAAGAAGAAAAAATGTTTTCATTTTTTTCCCCACAGCCGCGACACGTGTTCAACATGCTAAAGAAGTATGTCCGCGCTGAACAGAAAGACAGGCAGCACACCCTAAAGCATTTTGAACATGTGCGCATGGTAGATCCCAAGAAAGCTGCTCAGATTCGGTCCCAGGTAAGCACTGAGGGTGGGGATTGTCTGCAGCTTTGACGATCCAGTGTTCTTGCTTCTTGGGTGGCTGATAGGATCTTCATGTATTCCCAGAGCACCTGTGGGTATTGTTCTTCCATGGCAAGAGCTCTTTAATGCCTGGTAAATTCTAAAGTCTTGTCTTAGAGCAATATGTAGGTTGGCGTTTTCCAAGTTATGAAACTAATAAGAAACATAAAAATCTGAAGTGTTTACTGCTACCAATTCTTAAGGAATCGCTTAAAATTCTGGTGACCAAAAGAAAGAAAACAAAAGTTGTTTGAACTAAAACCTCTAAAATTGGGTCAACTAAATTATGGCAGGCAATTGTAAACTCTGTTACTACTGCAATATTTAGATTTAATGTGAGTCTAGATGAAGCCCTGTAATGTATGTTTTATACTCCCCTATTCCCAAAAGTTGAAAACTGGGGTTTACTCCTGGAAATCTGAAATTTTATATTTTTGTGAGTGGAAGAAATTAAAGATATATATATATATATATATATAAGAAATATGTATTTTATAGAAATATATTTGTGTATGTATATATATATATATATATATAAGAAATATGTATTTTATAGAAATATATTTGTGTATGTATATATATATATGTATATATGTATATGTATATATATACATATATATATGTATATATGTATTTAGCATGAAATAGCCAATCAGATTGAAATATGTTCTTATCTGTTGGGAAATTTGCCAAGAAATATATTTAGGACATCAGGGGCTATATAAGGAGCCTCAATATTAGGAATTAGAGCTGGCTGAGGTGGTCTTTCTAATCGGCTGTGAGAAATGTATAATGTAATGGTAAATTTAAAGATAAGTCTTAAAGCTGATCTCAAAAGTTAAAGAACAAAGGACTGGTTGGTTAGCTCAGTAGGTTAGAGCTCAGTTGTTAACACCAAAAGGTTAGGATCCCAGTACTGGCCAGCTGCCAAAAAAAAAAAAGAGAGAGAATAGAAAAACAGGAGAATAAGAAAAATAAGGATGCCCTTTCAGTTAAACATTCCATCATTGTTTGTCAGTTTTTATATCTATCTGCAGTGCTTGGTAAGGAAAATAACTATTCTTACCCCAGAGATTGTTTACCTGGAGTTGTCATCCTTTAATGCAGGTTATGACACACCTCCGTGTGATTTATGAGCGCATGAATCAGTCTCTCTCCCTGCTCTACAACGTACCTGCAGTGGCCGAGGAGATTCAGGATGAAGTCGGTAAGTAAGCTGTTCTTTTGGTGCTGTGCATGCAAAATATATTTTCCCCCAGGAGGAGAAAAATCAGAGAAATTAGTTCTTCTGCCTCAGAAAAGTGAGGCCTTTTGCATCAGGAATCACCAGTATTCAAATAAGTGGAAGTTAAAAGAGCAGATTGTGAACAATGAAACACTTGGAGGATGGAACTTGTTTTCACCTTAGTAATTACATCAGTTCTTAACTCTCCTTAACTTACAAGACTGGAGAAATGCAACTTGACTTACAGTGTATTTGTATAATAATGTGCCACTTGTTGCTGAATTATACTTGTCAGCAATTGTTTTCTAATTTGTTCAGTTTTGTGGGTATCACTTTTTGATGCTTTGGTGCTTTATAATTAAGGGGAGGGATAAAAACCCTTTCTTCATCGTAACCTTATGAGAGGCACCATAGCCCCATTTTACAAAGAAGAATCTGAAACTTACAATTTAAGTAACTTACTTGCCTGAGTCACTCAGATCCTAAGTAGCACAGCCAAAACACTGAACTGTGAGTTCTGACTTTGTGTTTTTTGTTATATTCAGTAAGTCCTAACTCCCTTTGATAGAAAAAGGAAAGCCATTCATGTTCTCTAAACCACATTGTTGTTTAAACTTAAAAGTTAGTGGGCTGTTAAATTGTTATTTTAAAATAATCATACTCTCACAAAAAGTTGAAAGAATAATAGAGAGATCCCATGTGTCTGTCACTCATTTTCCTCAGGGGTAACATTTTACGTAACTATAGAACATTATCAAAACCAAGAAATTGACATTGTGTGCCCACTGTCTTTTATAACCCTGGTTTTCCTAATGACATGTTTAATATTTTGTATGAGTAGATTCTCCCATTTCTGCTTTTCTTGGAAAGGGAGTGAAGTATTGCTTAACATGATTCTCTGTAACCCTCCAAAATGTCCGTATTTGTTTAACTTGACCTCACAAAGGTAAGTAGATGACAAATGTGGTCGTGCATCTTTTAAGATAAAGCAAATGTATGTGTGCTGGAGATTTGGTATATGGACTATCAGTATGTATCTGGCATATCCTTCTCCATAAGTAATCTTGCTTTTAGTTATTTAAGTTGGTAAGAGATGCAGGTTATCATCTGAAATCAGACCACTCAGGATGTTGTAGATGAATAGAGCTATTACGCTCATTCCTACTTTGGCATGAAATTTATTCTTATTTATTCTTATTTTTCTTTAAGTACCTTTCAAGAGAGCAACCAGCTCACTTCTTACGTCTCGTACCAATGCACTTTTACTCTTTCTTTTTTATCTTAATAGTGCCTTGTGAATGTGTTTGTATTACTGTCAATTATTTGGCATGTATCATGTGATGATGGTCTGTTTAGTACTGTGTACAACCAGCTCACTTCTTACGTCTCGTACCAATGCACTTTTACTCTTTCTTTTTTATCTTAATGGTGCCTTGTGAATGTGTTTGTATTACTGTCAATTATTTGGCATGTATCATGTGATGATGGTCTGTTTAGTACTGTGTATTAACATATGGAATAAGGTAGACTTAAGACTACATGCTTGCAAAAGAAACCTCGTAATGTATCATCCACACTTTTGTTCAGAAGGGGAAACTCAGCATTGAACAAATGTGAGTGGTCAGTGGAGTTTTTAGTCTATACCGTGGGTTGAGAACATGGATTTCCAATAAATTTTTCACTGTATTAAGTTTCTTTAGGAAATGAGTATGCTTTTTAGATGTACTTGGGGGATAGCTATTAAAGGAAACTAAAATACTTTATATGAAATTAAATTGAAATTAAGTCTAAGAAAGTCCTCCAAAAAGTTGTAGAAGGGACTAAACCAACTAATTCATTACATTCTTAATAAACTGAAGCTAAAATCTTCTAGATGAGTATATTTTTGCCTTGTAGCTATCTTAACAAGCCAATTTTCATTGACTTCAATTGAAGTAGTGTTGGTAATACCCATCTAATATGGAAACAAGCCATTACAAAGAACTAGAAAGCTGATGATCAATACTCCACTGTTACCCAGTAATTATGGTTGACTCCATCTAATTAAATTATTAGAACTTTCTATTGGCCGATATACTAGTGAAAACATTAGCTACTAATCAGTCACACTTCTGCAAAACAGATAATGATAGATATCTTGAGTGCTTCAGGATGCCCAAGAATAGGGTAATACAGTAAACTTCAAATTTCAGTGAAAGGGAGAATATTTAAATAATTAGAATCATGGATTTGGGGCTGGCCCGGTGGCGCACTCGGTAGAGTGCAGTGCTTGGGAGTGCGGCGGCGCTCCCGCTGAGGGTTCGGATCCCATATAGAGACTGGTCCGCTCACTGGTTGAGCGCGGTGCGGGCGCGACACCGAGGGTTGCGATCCCGTTGCCGTTCGCAGTGTGGGCGCGACACTGAGGGTTGCAATCCCGTTACCAGTCACGAAAAAAGACAAAAAAGGGGGGATAAAAAAAGAATCATGGATTTTTTTTTTCCTTTTTAAAAAAAGAAGAAGAAAAATTCAGCCATTTGGTTGGGTTAAGAGCATGTTATTTTGAAATATATATATTTTTGTCATTCTAAATATATTAGATGCCAAATCCTGTAAGGTAATCTTTTTAAAAAGGTTTCATTTGAAATCCTAGGCACTTCCATTTTTTAAATGGCTGTTTCCTAGAGAAATAGAAGCTTGTAATGATGAACTTGTATTAATTAGACCTGGGTACCATATGAGCTCCTAATAACAAAGCTAAACAAGATTGCTTGCTGGGGAGAATGGCTTTTCTGAGTTGAGCTTCATTGTCTTCTATAGTTCCTCTTCATTTGACATTTAAAAATAACTCATTTTCAAGTAGGAACATAAGTGAAACAAGATTGGCCGTGGGTGATAATTGTTTAAGCTGAGTGGTATTTGGGAATGTCTTCTATAGTTCCTCTTCATTTGACATTTAAAAATAACTCATTTTCAAGTAGGAACATAGGTGAAACAAGATTGGCCGTGGGTGATAATTGTTTAAGCTGAGTGGTATTTGGGAATTCCTTATACTATTCTCTTTAATTTTGTAGATACTTGAAAATTTCCATAACAAACAATATTTTTTAGCCTCCTTTCTAAATAAAATCTTCATACATTTCTTCTAGTTTATGTCTTGTACTCTTTCTAATAGTCTCTGATTAAGGGCTTTATTATTAGTCTGATTTGTATGTATCTGCCATTTGTGTCTATAATCAAACTTTCTATTTGGAGTTAGTTCAGTGCAAATTAAGGAGGATACTAAAATTCAGAGCCTCTGGCAAAGGGACAAGATTCGAAAGTACCTGCAAGTGCGTGCCTTTTGTATAAAAGTTTGTGCTTACAAATGTGGGCAGTTACAAACATCTGGAGAGAAATACAGTAGTTTAATTAAATAATGGTAACAGGTGCTTTCTGGACGAAGGGTTTTCACTAGTCTGAGGAACTGCCAGTAACTTTAGTGACATAGTATATCTGCTTCAGTAAATTATGCTTCCAACTAGAATTCTCTTATCATGGGTCAAAATGAAGAAAAAGGGAGTCATGCTAGAAAGAAGGAATCCTGTGGGTAAAGGTGGGAGTTGGCATCGAATTTGTGAGAACACTCCATTGTGACTAGAGCACAGGGTTCATCATGCCAGTGAATGCTCGCCCTACCCTCCATTTTCCCACTGTGCTTCCCTGAGGCATCCCATGTGTTTATGCCACTTTCCTACTAACTCCAGTAAATCCCAAATCCAAAGGTCTAGCAGCAGCTTGTCTACTGAGTCCCAGTGCCATATTCTAGACTAATCAGAATATTCCATATGCCTCTGAAGCTCTTATGAGTATACAAGAGTACTCACTCTGCCTCTCTGGAAATGTACTTGCTTACAATCTCTAGTGGGACTCTTCCAGTTGGCCCAAACTTCTCCATGACTCCCTATTCTCCCTCACCCGTGGTTTCAAGTCCTATATGTTCTGCCTCCAGTGTTCATGTGGAATGTCTGCTCTATGCATCCACTGCCTTAGTTCAGATCCTGTTCTCCTTTCCTCCATGTCACTGCACTCTCAGCCTGTCACCCCTCCGGCTCAGATTCTTCCTCTTCAGGACTGCCCAAGTTTCCTGCTAAATGCAAACAACACCTGCACGTGGTTCTTACTTGCTTGAAAATTGCATTCTTCAAGATGCAACTGAAATGTCCATGCTCCTCTAAACCATTACTAATTCACACAGGGAGCAAGAGAGAGAGAAGAGCTGGCATTTGAGTGATGACCATGTAACGACCTAATGAGTGTTTGTTAGTCGTTATATCTATAGTCCAGGTTCTTCATGCAAGTTCACCCCTGCGGTACAGGACCAGCATATATCAAGTGGCAGGTGGTCTAGGAGAAGAATGGGGACTGATGTTTATTCACATCCCTCTCACGGAGCCAAGCCCTCTGGCATTGGGCCAGGTCTACTTGAAGTGGGGTTTTCTGGTTTGAGTATTTCACACAAATGCAACACATGAGCTAATGATGACACTGAGGAATTCAGTGATAGCATCCCCAATATGCAGTTGAGGAAACTGAGCCTTAGAGAGGTCACTAACTTGCACAACACAGATCATAAAGTGATGAAAGTGGCATTGAAGCCAAGGTCCACTCAAGTCCACAATTCATTTTCTCTCTGCTACCCATTCTCTCTTAGGTAGAAGTTTTCTTTACTTAACCTACATGTCTAAAGCACCAGATATCCACTTCTAATACCATACTCTACTTCATATTTAATTGTTTGTTTATATCTCCATCAGCCCTCCATCTGATGAGCTTTTGCAGGCCATGTTTTGGTCGTCTTTTTCTCCTTAGGATCCAGCAGGAGTGAGCCTGGTGCTTTGTAGGTGTTAGTAATTGTAGACATAAGATTGAAGTAAATCCCCAGGCTGCAGGGTAGATGCTTCTTAATTTATATTGATCAGATGGGCTCTTCTGTAACCCTAAAGGCCTGCTCTAAGCTCCTT